ATGTTCAGTCTCAACTGTTACGAAGTTGATGTGCAGTTAATAAGCGCAATAAATATTTATACTGGAAAAGAAAATCGTGAGAGAATCGTGATCTCAATTCTAAGCAAAAAAATCGTGATTCTCATTTTATGCAAAATCGTGCAGCCCTAACTGGTGGCCTCCAGGATTTTTTTTTTCTTACCAATACCTTTCTTTGCTTTCCTCCCAGAACCCAGTTTCGTTTTCGCCGACGTGATCAGAGAAGGGGAAAATGGAGCAGATGGCGAGGACGACAAAATCTACTTTTTCTTCACCGAGGTGTCGGTGGAATACGAATTCTTTGGCAAGCTGTTCATCCCCAGGGTGGCGCGCGTCTGTAAGGTCAGTACACGTGCGCCATCTGCACATACCAGCGCTATCAATCCATCCATCTTTAGCCACTATTTCCTGTGTCCTGCATGTTTGTGTATGTATGTATGTTCAAGTCTTTTTTTCTCCTTTTTTTTCTTCCTCCTTCCAGTTCCCTTTGCCTCATTTTTTAAAAAATTTAACCTTAGCTCATAATTGCAGCATGCACATGCAGAGACCCATGGCAAGTGGACAATATAAAACACTGTTCCAGTGCAAGCACTTAACTTGCAACATACATCATAACAGCGTATTGTAATGTTTCAAAGTTAGTAGTATAACAAACAGGACAGTTATTTTTGTACTATTCATTTCAAGTTTTACTGCTTTGAAAATGTAAATGCAACTGTAACTACATCTTTTCTTTTTAGTCTTGTTTCCTGTTACCAAATAAAAAAGCAATAATGGGTGTACAGTTTTTAGACATATATGTATTTGCACGTAATCCTCCACCCCCAGTCAGGGGTCCCTGTATGTTGCCTGAGAGGCAAAATGTAGGGCAAGAAAGTGCATAATCCACTTGGCGCAATGCTCAGAGCTCCTTGTTAAGCTGGATAAGGTCAGCGTTTCTAGCATGTTAGGAAAAGTGGAAGCTGCCCTCTCATCCCTCACTGCTAAATATCTCCAATATTGTCACGACAGGGTGACCTTGGAGGGCAGCGCACTCTGCAGAAAAAGTGGACGTCCTTTCTGAAAGCCAAGCTGGTGTGCTCCATGCCTGAGCTCAACTTCGTTTTCAACGTGGTTCATGACGTTTTCATCCTGAAGGGGACAGACCGCAAAAACACGGTCGTCTACGGAGTCTTCACCTCTCAGTGGTCAGTGATTTCAAGATTTGGGATTGGTTTGGGTCGGGAGCGTTAAACAAGCAAGCAAAGAGCAGCATTCACATCCAGCCTAATGCAGAACTCAAAACTCACTCCCTTGCCTCATTTTCACTCTTCTCCTTGTCTCTTCCTGACATATGCACCTAGGGGTAACGTGGGTTTGTCAGCCGTGTGTGCCTACGAGATCAAGGATGTGGAAGACGTCTTCTCCAAGGGCAAGTACATGCAGAAGGCCACGGTGGAGCAGTCCCACACAAAGTGGGTACGATACAACGGCATTACTCCTACTCCACGTCCTGGAGCTGTAAGTAGATGCCATGAGTAATCAAGATGTGATCTACTCAATATAGTAATCATGTTAATTACATGGGGAAAAAGAGGATGCGTTGGTCATATGAAGTTCATTACTAACGTCATCGCTATTTGTCTTCCACACCAGTGTATTAACAACCAGATGCGACTGCAGAACATGAACAACTCGCTCCACTTGCCCGACAAAACCCTTCAGTTTGTTAAGGACCACCCCCTGCTGGAGGATCCCATCCTGCCCATCCACAACAGGCCCCGCCTCATCACCAAAGACGTCAATTACACCCAGATTGTCGTGGAGAGGGTCCAAGCACTTGACAAAATTACTTATGACGTCATCTTCACTGGAACAGGTGATCAGTTAAGATGAAATGAAAATGAAGCCGTTACAAGCACTTCCTTGTGAAGTTTATCAGGCAAATATGCAAATCTGAGTCAGTCAACTTTGAATGTCTGTGCAGTGAGAAAGCCGCGTCTCGCCACAAACTTGCAGATAAATGTATTAAAGAGTCCTGTTTTCTTGCGATTACCTTTGCAGAATAACTGACATTTTTACTATTCTCATGTCTAGATAAGGGTGTCCTGCACAAGTCGGTGCTGGTTGAAGATGAGGTTCATATTGTGGAGGAGATCCAGCTCCTGAAGAACGCTGAACCCATCAAAAACCTGCTGCTGTCCTCAGAGGTCAATTTATTTTATTGTTAATGAGATTTAGGAGATGAGTAAAGAACGAGACGAAGAAAATGTGAAATATGGATCACGTTGGCTCATTTTTATAAGTCACTTGGATATATATGCGATTAACTTTGTAGCTAATGTGCGTTTCCACAGACACAGTCCCTGTATGCTGGGTCAGACCTGGGTGTAGTCCAGTCTCCTACAGCTTTCTGTGCCAGGTATTCATCGTGTGTCGACTGCATCCTGGCACGAGACCCCTACTGCGCCTGGCACCCGAAGACTGCCACATGTGTCAACATCTTTGACACTGCCAGCCAAACACTCAGGTAATCTGTCACTCTTACTGCCACTAAAACAAAGCTAAAAACACACGTGCACTGATTCGTCCTCCAGCTTGACCTGCTTTACAGTCTTTGTGCATAGAAGTTGTGTTATTGCACTGTGCATGTGTATTTTTTGACTCATAAAAACAATGCATGTCTTGCAGGGGGCTGATCCAGAGCATGAAAGGTGATGCAAACATGTGTCCAGCAGGTAGGCCTCAACACGCTCACACACCCATATACAGGCTTCAGTTTTATAAAGTGGACAATGCTGTGTGATTTAAACTGTGACTCAGATGAAGTTATGCATAGAGGAAGAGATCGTGACCGTAAGTCAGCCATAACTTTTGCATGCCATGTCAAACATTCATTTTGTTGTTGGTCATTACTTATCGGTTTTCATCATTTGCAAATTCCATTTGGCTGCTGTTTTTTTACAGCTTATCCATTACTCTTAGTTAACTGTTAACTTTTCTGCTGAAACCTGTTCAGGTCCACCCACCCTACACTTCTTGCCTACTGCAGTGTGTGGGGTACTTGTACCTCGCGTTGGGAATTGTCCCCATTAGACCAGACAGTATCTAAAACTCACAATTGTCTCTTTTGTTTGCTTATTTTTAGTGCCAGCTCTGTCTCGGAAGGACTACAGGCATGTGGCGGTGAAACTGGGGAGCTCTGCCGAGCTGCCGTGCCTGGTACATTCCAACCTTGCCCAGGTGATGTGGAAATCTAACGACTCGGTTCTCACCGAGGCCTCTCGCTTCCACCTCATAGCCGAAAATGGGCTCCTCATTTACAGCGTGGCTCCAGAGGACCAAGGGTACTATGAGTGCTGGTCCGTGGAGTGGTCTCCTGCTGCTGGCAGGAACTTCAGTCGCCTGCTGGCCGGATACACCCTGACTCTGGATCTTCCGCCCAGACCGCCGCACCAGGCGGGGCATGCCGTCACCACCACCCTCGGTGGCCACGAGGCAGCTACCACAGGTGCAGCTGAAGGTAAAGTAGAGACGGAGAGAGCCGCACTAACTTCAGCCCTTGCCCCTCCCAGCTTCACAGCAGCAACAGTCCTGCCACCCTCCCCTCCCCAAAGCGACGCGTCACTAACCCCGCCCACCAGCAGCACAGTCAAGCTCCAGCCAAAGGTAAATCTTCTTCCCACTAATTCCAAAGGCCCCCATCCTGACAGTCGGGACCCCTCGGCAGAGTATTTGCAGCACAACAACACCGCTGCCCTCCTCTTCCTCTTCCTCCTGTTTTTCCTCCTCTTCATGGCTGCGCTGGTGTACAACTGCTACATGCAGTACCTTCCAGCTCCCTGCTTGAGGCTGCGGGCCACTCTACTTGGCAGCCACAAGAGCGCCCATCAGACCGAGTACAGGGCCTGTGAGGCAGGTTTAATAGAAACCTCTGCGATCGAGAAAATTAACATGGCCGAGCAGCCGATCCAGAACGGCAGCCAAACCACTCAAAACCTCCGGGCACTCCGCGACACGGGGTACGAAACCGAGCCGGAGTGCGGGAACGGTCGCGTCCCCTCTCTCAGTTTTGGAGACGATAGCCCCTCCAAGGAGAAACCTTTTGATGTGGACTGTGGATCTCAGGACATTCAGTATGCAGATGCAGATGCAGAAGCTTAACGCTAGCCACAATAGACTTGATCCCTCCTATCGGCACAGAGAGTGCAGGGGGCCGCGCTTTTTCTGCATTTGCAGCTTCTGTCAAGGGCACAACATTTTTGTAAGGCATGAAAATCCCGAGGCCCAGATCGGGCATTCCCGCTCGGTTGTAGAGTTTTAACTCCCTCTGCTTGATTTTAGGGCTAATGGTGATGGTGAAGCAAAAAAAAAAAAGAAGCAAAAAAACAACTGTATTCAAGGAAGCTGCAGCTCCTTCAGCTTAGCCCAGCAAGAAAAGCTATTAAATTTTTGAATTTTTGTCAATTTTTTTTTAAACATTCCAAATTGGAAACATTGTTTACCAAATTGGTAAGTTACTGTGATGCTTTCCAAAGTGCAGTCACATTTCTGTACAGCTTGAGGGGGAGGGGGGCATTTGCATCTCTTTGAGGGGGAGGGGGGGCATTTGCATCTCTTTTTAGCTTTTTTTTTTTTTTTTTTTTTTTTTTTTTTTTTTTTAAAGCAGTGAATACTTCATTACACAGTGAATGCTTCAGTATTACATTGATTTCTCAGGGAAGAGTTGCTCAGTATATTGTAGCCTAGGTTAGCACAGCGTCACCACCCGGAGCATGTGGGCCTTAATCTCTCCCAGTGAACTGGCAGTAAGAGAATGAATCAAACTGTTTGTACCACTGTGTTTCCTGCGTGCAGACTCTCATGTTTTATTAGTATTATTATTATTTTCCTTCCTATGAAATCGACATTCCCCACACAGATACAACTCTGGTCGTCCTGTGTATTAACCCTTGTCGGAGATCTTTCCATATGTGCTCTGTTAATAATGTAAAAATGTACAGTGTGACATGATTAACAAAAAAGGGGGGCAACATCAGAAGTTATTTTTTTAATTGTAATTTTATAAAGCCTTCAGTTTTAGACAATTTTCAGAGAATTATTATTTATAATGAGTCACATCTGTGGTAACAGTTTGTCTAAGTAGTTGTGATCTTCATCCTTGTTGTTTTTACTTTTTCAATTTTTTTTATTGTAGCTGATTTGATCTTTTTAGGCCATTCATTCGTCACCCCTTTGTCTGTTTGCATGCCAGCCCCTGTTTGAATTTCCTGTTTTTTCCTCAGTACTGTTTCTTCCGTCACTCCCTCTCACAGCCTCCTCTCCTGTCGCCACTTCATCTTCCCTGTCCTCTTCTGGAGGTAGCACTCCCTCTCTCCCTTCCTCCTTTCCCCATTCCTCTTCTCCCTCCTCCACGAAGCCCCATAATGCGGAGGCTCGGGAGGCCGAGGTGAGACTATTGCCTCCCCTGCTGAAGGACCAGGCCTGGGGGGTTCACGCGCAGGAGGCCTTCCTTCTCTTCTGCCTCGCCCTGGGTGAGTGGTGCATGTGACATAGGCTGAGCTCACACCCCAGAATCTAAATCCCTCAGAATTTCTTCCTTTTGCTTTTTAACCCATCACTCTCGCACATTCACTCTCCTCTCCTGCATCTCGCATGTTGGCAAACATCAGCTAACTGGGAGTGAGTGCGAGCATGTCAGAGTTCCTGTTTGTGTGAAACAAGTGATCCTCCCTGCTTTTTTTTTTCTGTGTTTGTGGGAACGATTGACCTCCATTTTTAAGAGTATTTCATTAAAAAAACAAAGCAAACGTGAATGTTTAAAAAGATTAAGCTGGGATTCATTAAGCTGGAAAACTCAGTGATCAGGTCCAGTGACCACACTCTGACGGACGGACGGATCCTCCTTATCCAGGATATTAAGAATCTTTCCTCAAAACAAAGTTTAGTGGGTTCACCTTTCTTTATCCAGATCATTTTTGTGCCTGTAAACAAATGTAAATATATTTGTATATATGGGGAAAAAATACCATTTGACGATGTACATAAAACTAGGTGACGTAATGGGGCTGTGGTTGTTGGTAGGGAGGCAAAATAAAAATGTAAAACGTTTACAACCCTTGTTTGTTTTTCTTTATTTTTTTAAACTATCATCATCCGTTGTATTTTCAAAAGATGAGGCCTCCATAGAGAGGACAGATATATACTAATTAGAAAATGTTTGCCTATCAGACCTGAGATCAGGCAGTATGCATGCTCACGATTGACCACAGGTGGACCAACCAAAGGCAAGTATTTCCCATTTCATGCATGTCTCAGTGGCGCCTTAAACATCAGAGGTCAACATCAATTCTGTCCCACAGGTCCCAGTGATGTCCACATTCACTGGCTAGTAAATGGGCACAGTCTGGACACCCCCATAAAGGAGTACCGCCGGCCGCTTGGTCAGAGGGAGGTTTTAGTGAGCAGCTGGCTCCAAGAGGGGCCGCTGATCAAGGACGCACGGTATAACTGTGTTGCTGAGGCCAGCACAGGAAGTGACGTGTCTGAAGTTGACCTCCGGCTCTCTATTGGAGGTATCAGGTGGAAAATATTGACTATAGTCCTGCATGCAGAATGGAATTGGGAGTGTTCTGGACTGGCTGTTTCCATTGGCAGAGATGGATAATTGCACTGGTTTATTTCCATAAAGCGTGTTGTTGTTCAACAGATGAAGAGAACATTCCAACCCGAGATTTGAGCCAGTGGAGAGGTGCGCTCGCAGAGCACGAGCAACTGCTAAAGAGATGGGAAAAGGCCTGGGTAGGTCTGAGTGTGCTGTTTTCTCCAGTCAGTCGCCTGGATTGTGTTTGCGTCACGTGCGTCAGTTTTAACCTGCTCGGCATGTTCGGCTTTAGGCTGCCAGGCTGTTTTCATCAAGAGTACTGGAGAAGTGCAAAGTCCACGTTTTTATAGCAGCAATAACACGAAACGAGGGATGCGAAGAAAAAGCTAGTTCAAACGAAATGAGGGTCTGATTTAAGGGCTTTGTAAACGGTGATATGGAAGCTTTGAAGTTCACTTGTTTAAATACACCAATCAACTACAGCTTTAAATGCCTTTAACGTCATGTATCTAACGGTGTTGTACGAATCGCATGTTCTTTTAACCATATTTTGTAAATTGCATGAGTAACTAAAAGCTTATGTTCCTTTTAGAGAAGCTGCTAATGAGATTCCTCCTTCAATACAGGCATGTGTGAGTCTTGTGACATTTAACTAAATTTCCTAAATGTCTTGATGTTACTGAAGTTACTGGACATTTTTGACTAATATCTAACTAATATCAGTCTGTCTTCCTAGATAGAAAACAATACCTGTAGGTCACAAATGGGTTGATTTAAAAGCAGTGCATTGGTTATTACAGAATTTTAAAGTCAATGACTCAGTACTTTTCTTGTGGCTTTAAAATGGGGGGAAATAATTATTTGATCTCCTGCTTAATTTGTAAGTTTGCTCACTTACAAATAAATGAAAGTGTCATATTTTTATGGCAGTTTCATTTTAATGGAGGCAAGTAATAAGTCATGATTTGCTTGGGGATCAAATACTTCTTTTACATTATATATGTGTCTTTTCTGGGTTTTTGGTTAATAGTCTGCCTCCATTAAAATGATACTACTATAAAACTTACTGTTACCTTCGTTGGACGTGAGCAGGGGATCAAACTATTATTTCCCCATCTGCATGTGCAGCTGTTGAAATGCATCAGTACTACTCCCAGCATTTCTCTTGTGTAATTAAATCGCACTGCTTGTGTAGTACAGCTGTGTTTTTTCCCACTTTAGGAAAGCTGTGACGACCACAGAGCTCTGTGAAGAGTTGACTTGGCTGAATCTGGTTGCGAACATGGTCCTCCATGCAGGTGGACCACACCTTTGACACTGAAACTGTCAAAAAAACAACAATGCCACTTCTTAGATAGGAGTTTGGGGGACCATGAAGCAACACATTTACAATCTGCCTCCTGCAGGGGTGAGGGCAGTTGGGGGGTTGGGGTCACCTATATGCAGTGATAATGTGGGAGTCTCCAACCAAACTCTGCAAGGAGATGAAGCTCATCAATCTGAGAACACGTGGGCTGCCTTTGTACCAAAAATCAATTTCTGTCAAACGTCCTGAGAGCAGTGCTTGTAAGGAACGTTTCGCATTTTTAAAGTGATGGAACATGTCAAATGTTTATTGTGAGATTCATTTTAAGATGTTTGCACCTGTGCTGGCTTCAGAAGCTTCTGTCAAGTCCATCATAGCTACTTGGAATTTGTATAATCTTGAGTGAAAATGTCTTTAATCATCGAGCCCAAAACCCAATTCATAGGAGTTGATGGCAGGAATCGGGCCTGTAGCTCTTTCTTTTAACATGTCATCAAAATGCAAAATTTATCTTAAAAGAAATGCAGTTCAGCCCATGTATGGCAACTTTTATTTCACACACTGCTTTTCATCTGTTATTTTCTTCACATTAAAACTGACTACCTATTTGACGCTGTAGCAGAAATAAACTGTTTAAATGCTGTTGCTTATGTCATGATGCCTTCAAGTTTAACACATTCTAGTGTTTAAATTACAACATGTGAGCAGATGATGGTAGAAAATATAATCAAGAATTTTCTTTGAAAATCATGTATAGTTAATGCCTTGACTGAAATCTAATTAAAAAAAAAAAGTTTCAAGCTGATTTTGACACGTGTGCCCCAGATTTGTAGACTTACAGCTGTTCATCTTAAATTGTTTTTAATTTGGTCCTCCGTTAAGTTTCTTTTAATGTATGAGAAAATGCCACATGTGGCTTCCTAAGGCACATTTCTGTATTTCAGCACAACACTGTGGTTTCATGGTGGTGTTCAGTGGAGCCACACCACCCTCTTGTGACCACTTATAGGAACATAACCCAAAAACAGGAGGTGGTTAGCAGGTTGTTTATTACTGTAAAGGTCAGAGCATGACAATTAAACAAATGTAACTGAACACACAGAGAGACTGACACCAGATTTAACCATCTCTAATTAATTTATAAATTCACTTTGGTTTTAAGTCACAAAGAAGATTTCGTCCTCCTTTCTCCGCGGGAAAAAAAAAGCATCAGACAAATCAGAGGGATTACATCAAAAAGCTGAGAAATTCATATGCTGCAGTGAGCAACCAGCTAGACAGTATACACTTAATAATTTTAAATAAAAGATCACAGGAGGACTCTTCCAGTAGGGCGAGGGTGGGGTCTTCTGAACAGAAGGATGTGTGGCTCTGGGAGAACAATAGCAGACAAATATACCAACAGGTTAGTGACCTGAGGCCTGATCATTGTGTGTTTTAAAGGCCTATTACCAGAATGATGTGCTACACTGTAGTTACAGCCAAAGTTGTACGACTCTGCAGCCATTCTGGTGATGCATTTAAATTAACTGGGAGAAAACCATTACTTTTGCTTTACTAGTCAACCAGACACAACAGTGCACGAATAGCATCAACAATCAACTCCAACTTAGAAGAGTTTTTAACAACATAATGGATTTATTTGCAGCCAAGTCCAGGTTGCCAACATTTCAGCAGCTCAAAAGCAAGCCAATAACATATATTACATGCATTACCTGGTTCGTGTATCATATAGTGGATCCATCCCCGGGACTGCTGCACTCCCAGCTGTCTCCACTCGTCTTCAGACATCAGGTGGGATTTTGGGATATATTTAGTCATCTCCCGAGGCAGAACAACATGTCTAGTGATGAGAACAAACGATTGTTAATCATTAGTGGAGTGTAAATATCTTGTAAGGTTTGATGCAACTATCCTGTTGGACGACACCAGTTATCTGAGATATGATTTAAACTACAACCACGCAAAGTATCAACTGGATCTTGCAGTTGTGATGTTATGTTGATAAAAACTGTCCAGAGACAGATATGTAGACAACATACTCAAAGTCTCTTAGGGAGTTCCTGCTATACAGGAGTCTCCAGGAACAAATTTTTCATCATGATTTAAAAAGAAGTAAAATGCAGCCGAAAGTCATATGTGAATTGTGTCTACAGAAAGAACACATAGAGATCGATACACAGGTGCCAAATTAAAGGAAAACCCTATATTTAAGCCACTGAGTGGCTTGCTATGCTGTGCAGAGGATCTTGCAGGCATGCCTTGAGTCCATGTATTCTTTTGCAGGGACAGGTCAAGCAGTGCAAATCAATACAAAGTTGGCCTGAGGGGTCTTAAACGTATCTACTGTGATGAGGGTGGCAAAGATATTGTTAACTTACTTTAAAAAATCTTAATATAAAAAATGGTCACATTTGCCATCATACCAAGATGACAAAGCTCTGCTCTGCTCAAAAAAAAAGAAAGAAACAAGCAAATTCACACTGGAAATTAACTTAAGCAATACTGAAAACTGAAAATGTGAACTAACTCAGGGTCGTCTCTTCCAAAAATCCCTCCCATTCACAGGATGGATTTTGGGGATTAAAAAAAAAAAATCACACTGCAGTCGCTTCATTTCAAGGAGCACTGGAGCTGTTCTGGCGACACCTGGCGGTCAGACTTTCACTTTACATCCACTAAAAGTTTGTCACCGTAATGGTGGTGTTCCCATTGAACGGCAACATTCAATGGGATTATTATTATTATTCTACTATTACACCTCTACCTATATATATATATATGGTATTTTTTTTTAAATCGCACTATCATGCAAAATTAGCATTACTAAACGCCAGCTTAAACTTTGAGACCACTTCGTGTCGGTTGTCTACGTTTAATTTTTCCTAGAAAATATCCACTGAAGACGTCTTCTCTTTGTTGCTAATCTTTAGTTAACGTTACTAAAGTTAAACATGGGAACAAATAATGCTCACCTGTACTCGTAATGGTCGTCACTGTACCTGTCGGAATAGTAGATCTGGTTGCGAGACATATTTACAGAAAAAAATCAGGTTAATTATTAGAAAAGTTTTACGAGAAACTGGGGTTGTAGAATAACAACAAGTGGCCACCTGTAGCTCATTCCGTGTAGATTGCTCAAAGGTATTGATTGGACGACTTCTGTCATGTGACCAGAATTTCCCTCTTTATCGGTAGTTATCGAGCCGTCATCAAAGTACAGGTGAGTGTCTTAAGTTGTTGTTTTCAGCCCTCTTTTGCAGTAGTTGTTCATCTTCACACAAAATAGAAACACAATATATCTCACATGTTTAAATATGCATCACAACACACTACTGTGTTATTACTGATGAGGATGGTTAAAATAAAATACTCATCCATTCACTTCTGCTTATCCTTATCAGGGTCACAGTGGGCTGGAGCATATCCCAGCTATCATAGGGCGGGGTGGGGTACACCCTGGATGGGTCGCCAGTCTGTTGCAGGGCTAACATAATCTACAGCAGAATGGCTCAAAAACAAAGGAATCAACATATTGCAATAGCCCAAAGCCCAGACCTCAGCCTGGTTGAAATGTTGTGGCAAGAGCTTTAGAGAGCTGTGCATAGGCAAATAACCAAAAACCTTGATGATGAGAAGCAATGCTGTAAAGAAGTGTTGCATGTTCTTTTTATCTAAGGTAAAAGAGGGTTTCAGTCCCAGTCCAAGTTTTCTCTCATTTATTGCCTCAAGCAGTTCAAAAATAATTCATGCAGGTGGATCTCTTTCCAGTTAGAAAACCACAGCCAACAGTTTGCTGTGGCCAGCTTCTGGAAGAGAGATGACCCCAACTAATAGTACACATATTTATAAAGGAGAATGTGTTTCTATCTGATTGGTCAAAAACCATTGAGAAGGGCCACAATTTGGACTTTAGCTCCTCTTATTGGCACCCTTCTTCTTCTCCATCAGGTACAGCTTCACCTAGGGATCACTAACTCTTCTCTCTCTCTCTCTCTCTCTCTCTCTCTCTCTCTCTCTGTACTTCAAGAACACTCTCCCGTCTAAAAAATCTGTTGGGCTTTTCTCTGTATCTATGAAGCGCCTTGAGGCGACATTTGTTGTGATTTGGCGCTATATAAATAAAATTGAATTGAATTGAATT